TGGTTTCTTTCTTGACGTAGGGTTCAAGTCCTCTGGATCACGTTCCTGAAGGTTTCATTCCGTTTGGACTCCGTTTGATATTCTTTTCTGCAAAATTCTGAAATAGGCAAAAAACAGCAATTCTGGGTTGGGCCTCCGGTTAATAGGTTAGTCTTAAAAATAATATAAAAGTGTATAATAAAGCCCAATAATGTCCAAAGCAGAATATAAGATAGCATGGAACAATAAAAAATTATAGATACGTTGGAGACGTATCAAGCATCCCCAAGCTTAATTCCTGCTCGTCCTCGAGTAGGTAAATGATAAAAACAGAATTTTTAATGTGGAATGCTACCTGGCATAATTTAAATGTAATTCTCTTAATTGTGGTATAAATATTCAGATCCAAAAGATTCAAGACAAAAGTTTAATATTGACATAGAAATAATAATACTTCAAGCATAATAACTAAGCAATTATGTCTTCTCAAAATAACATGGCCAAAGAAAGTTATCCCTACAAAATCATATAGTCTGGCTATGCTCCATCTTCACCACACAAAGTATTTAAATCATGCACAACCCCGATGACAAGCCAAGCAATTGTTTCATACTTTTGGTGTTCTCAAACTTTTTCAAGCTTCATGCAATACATGAGCGTGAGCCATGGACATAGCACTATATGTGGAATAGAATAGTGGTTGTGGAGAAGACAAAAAGGAAGAAGATAGTCTCACATCAACTAGGCATATCAACAGGCTATGGAGATGCCCATTAATATATATTAATGTGAGTGAGTAGGGATTGCCATGCAACGGATGCACTAGAACTATAAGTATATGAAAGCTCAACAAAAGGAACTAAGTGGGTGTGCATCCAACTCGCTTGCTCACGAAGACCTAGGGCATTTTGAAGAAACCCATCATTGGAATATACAAGCCAAGTTCTATAATGAAAAATTCCCACTAGTATATGAAAGTGATATCATAGGAGACTCTCTATCATGAAGATCATGGTGCTACTTTGAAGCACAAGTGTGGAAAAAGGATAGTAGTATTGTCCCTTCTTATTTTCTCTTGTTTGGGCTTTTTTTATTTGGCCTTTCTATTTTGGGGGGGGGGACAATACTCTATGAATGATGATCATCACACTTCTATTTATTTACAACTCAATGATTACAACTCAATACTAGAGCAAAGTATGACTCTATATGAATGCCTCCGGCGGTATACCGGGATAGCAATGATGCATGAGTGACATGTACGAAAGAATTATGAACGGTGGCTTTGCCACAAATACAATGTCAACTACATGATCATGCAAAGCAATATGACAATGATGGAGGGTGTCATAGTAAACGGAACAGTGGATAGTTGCATGGCAATATATCTCGGGATGGCTATGGAAATGCCATAATAGGTAGGTATGGTGGCTGTTTTGAGGAAGGTATATGGTACCGGCGAAAGTTGCGCCGTACTAGAGAGGCTAGCAATGATGGAAGGGTGAGAGTGGTATAATCCATGGACTCAACATTAGTCATAAAGAACTCACATACTTATTGCAAAAATCTATTAGTTATCGAAACAAAGTACTACGCGCATGCTCCTAGGGGGATATATTGGTAGGAAAAGACCATCGCTTGCCCCGACCGCCACTCATAAGGAAGACAATCAATAAATAAATCATGCTCCAACTTCTTCACATAACGGTTCACCATACGTGCATGCTACGGGAATCAAACTTCAACACAAGTATTTCTCGAATTCACAACTACTCAACTAGCATGACTCTAAAATCACCATCTCCATATCTCAAAACAATTATCAAGTATCAAACTTCTCTTAGTATTCAGCACACTCATAAGATTTTTTTACTAATCTTGAATGCCTAGCATATTAGGATTAATTTCCCATTTTAAGTAAATTACCACGCTGTTTAAGACTCTCA